TCAGGAAGACAGTGTTTGTGTGTGTCGTACATCCTCAGACATCCTGCAATGGAACCCTCAAAAAGACAGTGTTTGTGTGTGCCTTACATCCTTCGACATCCAGCAATGGAACCCTCAGGAAGACAGTGTTTGTGTGTGCCTTACATCCTTAGACATCCTGCAATGGAACCCTCAGGAAGACAGTGTTTGTGTGTGCCTTACATCCGTACACATTTTGAATGAATTTGGCATTTCCCAACTAGCAATCTTTTTAGATAATGAAGGGTGCAGATAAGTGCATGTGGTCTGTGGCAGCCTATCTACATGTACATGTAATTCCACAATGTTTGTTCCACTCAGACGTTTAACTTGAATACAGGAGGAAAAAACCCTGAAAAACACATGGCCAACTGAGGCTTCTGAAATGAATGAAACCTTACTTCGGTCCAAGATCTTGTTGTGGTTCTGTTGCTGCAAACAACGACTTACTAGCACGCCAATAACTCTCCCCAAGCAAAAAAAAATGTGTAATGTTGACATGCAAATTTGACATTGATCAGTGAACCCGAACACTCCCAAAACCTCCAATTTCAATATGATTTTACACACACCCTTGGGGGTTAGAGTTAATTTAATGCATTGTTAAAACAGCATTCTGCTAATAACAAGGATATTTTTAGGTCCCAACCTCTTTGTTCTTTATTGTTTTCATTTCAAATGCAACTTTCCTGTTACAACAAAGTCATCTGCAAAGTCTAGGGGACCTCTCATTAATGACTGTATCTTGTTCGGTATGCTGAATATTTCTTAGTAAGAAGTCTTACCTGTATACCCGTTGACATGAATAGAGACCCCATCAAAGATGCGTGAACCAGAAGCACTCCCTGCAATCTCAATATTTCGTGGGGTGTCTGCAGTAAACTGCTCTGCTAACTTCTGTTTCTTGGCATTCATGTATCCACCCTGGTGCAACCAAAGAAAGAAAATCAAGATGCTATCATACTTGACTGCATACCATGCAAGAAACACCAGCGCAATAAAATCTTGCCCTGGATATCCACCCAAATAAAGAAGTTGATTTGCCTCAAACATTTTTTTTGTTTAATTAAGCTAAATGGACTGGTTTTAGTAATGTATGGAATAATAACACATTCATAACCAGGTAAATAATTCTATAAAACTGGCCTACTCCAAGTACGTGATGATCTCTTTGCCACACCAGACAACAAATGGAGCTTCTGGCGATTTGTGAGAGACCATTGAAAATTCCGCTCACCTCCTGTCTTTCATCATGCCGGGAAGATGATCAACAAACCTGATGTCATCATCGAAGCTTTTAACAACTTCTTCATTCATGTCATTTTAGTTCATTAACGTGCTGTCAATAGCCAGGAAATGCCTCCTCCATGTCCACATGCTATCCCCGAACTTCCACTCGTTCAGCTACATTTGAGTGATTTGACCAAATCGCTGAAGAAACTGAATCCTTGGAAAGCCCCAAGCCCCAACCGAACATCCCCTCATCTACAGGTCTATTATCTCCCAGGTCTGTTATCTATCAGCCCAGGTCTGCTATCTATTAACTGTTTTAAGGCCGGTTCAGGCTTCAGGCAAATGAAAAAGCAAGGCAAATCTGATGTCACAAAACACTTGTGGCAAAATTGGCTTGAGTTGAAATGTTTTCCTTTTTTGCCACTTCCAAGATGAATAGGCCTACTTTGATTTGCCTTCACAATATGCATGTATGTTAATCTTCGCACCGAATACCGGTACATGTACATGCACGAATTAGCCTTTTATCTTTATTCCAAAGAGTAAACGGCGCTCTTTGTTTTGACACATCACTCTTTTTGGCATCCTCAGAATAGTCATCATACATGCATGTACATTTCACATCCATAAATTTGTGTGTTTTGGTACACGTACATTGTACTTCTTATAACCACCGTGCAAGTTGCTTGTGTATGCTAACCTGAATGAAACTTTTATAGCTATTCCTGAACTCTTTTGACCAAGGATTTCGACCTTGCATGTGCGTGTGCGCGAGGTCAATGCATCAGGAGCTGTCACTCTCAACTGAATGGTGGTGCAACCAGTCACAAACAGGCCAACGGCTTGCCCACTTTTGGGTGCTTCATTTTTAAAGTCATCCTCCGTGCATACAGTGTGTAAGCTTAACTTGGTTTTTGAAATAATTATGATCGATTAAAAATAAAATATCTAACATGAATGTGGGGGTTTGATTAAAATGCTAGACCTAAGTTCGAGGTGAAGGCACCAAAACACAATGGTATCTTTACATGTAGATCATTGTGTGCCGCAACTCTCATCTTATGGGCCATTCCATGCTGAAAAATGGGGGGGGTTATTGACGAGAAAGGTAAATAAAAGTTTGCTTGCAAATTTTCCATTTTCAATTGCTTGCTTGAACTTTCTAACCGATGTTTTTTTAATGATTGGAATAATTATGTCCTTACAAACATTTAAAAGGGTTTCTCCCCTCTCTCTCTTTAATAAAGTGAGCAAGGCAGTCTCATCTTTTATTAATGATATACTTTTTCTGCTTCTTTATTAATTCTTTCCATTTTATTGATTTTTTGTTTACATGGCAACCACTGGAAATATGTTACATTACACATTTAAATGTCTCATTTTTTTTATCTGCTCGGCCAAGTCCATTTCTTGTCACACTAAAGACAAAAATTTATAAAGTATTTGCAAAATATACAATAAAAATAATGGTCTTTCTGGGAAAAAAAACAATAATATAACCGACCCATATGCCGTTACCATGGTAAATAATGGAAAATGCAATGCAACATAACATTGGCATTTTATTTTATTGAAGCTTTTATGTGAAACTTTATGTCCTGCAAGTTTGGTGATGATATATAAATGAATTCTGTAGTTACGTTAAAGTGCGACTTTTTACCTGTTCTTTTAACTTATTTGGGGCCACATTCATGGCTTAACCAGTGCACTGTAAATGTCTTTGCCGTATATGTCTCATCTCGACACTAAAAATTTTATAACTCAAAACGTAAATGGCCATTTGAGTTCATTAAGAAAGCATATTAATGTAGCTTTCATTTCCTATCATTTGACACAAAGCAGCTCTGTACTCCCTATAACAATTTTGACCTGAAAACCCTAGTAGGCCTAGTACTAGTACTAGTAGTAGCATGCCAGCACGCATGACAGGACTGTCCCCACCCCCTCCCCCGACCCCCAAGTTGGTGCATAAACTGGCCACAATTTTTCGGGTATTAAAGTAAAATATTTCGCACAAATCAACTTTCACTAGCTAAAGTTAACGTTCACCAGTTCATCATAATCTAGGCTACTTTTGCATGTTCGTATACACATACGAGACGTGTTCTAACTATAATAGGCCGGGCCCATAGCATGCAGGCCTATATTACTGCGAATCCATAAATTTTCACTCGGGTCTCAGCAAGCTTGAAACTTAGAGTTACATGGAATCTCACCATTTCTCCCCAGCCATTGTCACCCCAGGATCTCTTTCCTCCACGTCCTCTACTCATGTCTCTCAGTTACATTCAACTGACGTCCAACTTGAGGAAAATTTTGAAACAAATAACGACTTTTTTTTCTTAATTGTCAAACATGACGCTCCTAGCTCCAGGCCTGTGGCGGTCGCGCCGTATCTAATTCTCCGGGCGCGCGCGACATTTGCGATGAGATTGTACATCGCCCTCTATCGAGCGACGATTTTTTTCTTCAGACAAACGTCTTGGCATTTTTTTTTCTCAGTTCCTTCTTCATAGAGGCTATTGTCATAGAGAGTGAGATAAGTTATTTAAAGATTAAATTGATAATTCTACTTAATTTTCAAATTCTCTTTGAAGGCCTACCAAAACGTAGGTAATCTGCCACAGCGCGGCGAGTCACGAGCGCGATTGGACCGGTCTGTTTGCTGCCCTCTATTGACATTGTCAATCAAAAATCTCCCATTATTTTCTGGAAGTTCAGGCGCGCCGCTGATAATTAAGATCCAGGGGCCGGCAGGTCGAAATCCCCTGCTCTAAGAAAAAATACCCCCCCCCAAAAAAAAACACCCCGAAAGATAAAAAATGGGGAAAATAAAACAAATAAATTATACAAAGATAAGTGCACCAATACCACTATAAAGAATTTGTGTCACGTAATGTTTCAGAATCGTTTTCGCTAGCGCTAGGTCGCAAAAAATGAGACATTAAAAAAAATCTCCGGCCTGACCCCCCCCCCATCCTGGATCCGCCTCTGAAGTTTATACTCTTCTTCAATGAATGAAAACTCGGATAACTTCCTATTTGGTTCAATGCATTTAAAAACACATTTTTTGAAACACTGAATATCATCCAGGCTATCTTGGTTAACTAAAGGAAGTGCACTATAAAAAAATCAAGGGCATCACACAATAAACCTGCGTAAACATTAATTGATCCCCTTGATACTTTTTGATCTTCCAGAAAACAACTGAGGACTGTCAATGGCTGCTAATATGTCCCATCTTTGTCATATTTTACTCCAAGTAGCATGTAAGTAGGGCCCCATTTATGAGACAAAAAAGAGAATGATTGGGTGTGGCAATTCCTGGATGGGATATTTGATGGGTTTGTTGCAATTCCAATGCACTTTTTTCGTTATTATTGCTTTTGGTTGTGTTCCTATTTCCTAAATTCTTGGGCCCTTCAAATGCACATTGCACATAATAGAAAAACTAATGGAGTGTTTTACTCTGAAATTTGTCTCAGATTCTGCGCGTCCTGCATCAATTTCGTATGTAATGTAATTGGACAATAATTCACAAGCTGCACTCGCGTGATTCCACTGTGATAGGTGAATTCCAAATAGGCATCAAAATACAAAGTTTATTCTTGGAAATACTCTTTACTCTTCACCCCAAGTCAGTTTAACAATGCAATAATAAAGTACTAACAAGAAACTACTAATTGGTGTAAGTTTAACACAATTTGAAAAATGCATTAGTCTTGCAAAAGACACTGCAAAGGAGATTTGACATTAAAAAATGATGCTGAAAACTGGGGTCAAAGTTGACAGAGACACAATGTTGCAGCATTACAACATTAAATACCCTGTATATGGAATAGTGAATCAAATGATATAACATATGAAAGACATGTAAATCAACAACTTTAATTAAACAGATGGCTCTATGGAAACACGAAGCCTTTGACGAGCAAAACCATTATCCTAACCATGCTGAACTTAACAAGGTTATGCAGGATTTCAATGGTCACTAGGGGTTAGGGTTAAACAAACACTGGACTGCAGTGTCAAAACATATCTTTGTATATTAGTGTAGTCTATAGAATAGGAAGACTGTCTCAAGTCATATGAAATTCGTAACAAACTAGGATCCTGGAGTATAATCTCTGGAATTACAATGTTACAATACTTGGATTAAAGTCCTTTTTAAAAACCCTTGTTCTGTAATGGTACTTATTCTCTACAGAGACTGGAGAAAACCCGATCGGACACACTTCACCAGGCTTGGTATTACAAATTTTACACTATGAAGAAAGAGGAATAACCCACCACACACTTCAAGGGAGTTCTTGTCAAAATGGGAATGAGCATGATATACAAACAAGCATTCATATATACAATCCAAACGTCCTGGTAAAAATCACTATGTGGCATTGGAAATTCTAATATATGCTGGTAGTATTTACTTCTACATAACCTTAGCAAATAATCCATTCTCTTCAAGTACATCACACAATGTTAATATAACTAACAAATTATAAATTTGATTACATGAACCAGTAAACTCTACACTGAAAAAGTCTACTTCAGAGCTGCATTATTCTTAAAATATGCTATGTTCCACAACAGTAAAACTGTTACCTACATGTACCAGTGAATTTGAAATTAAACTAATTGTTATACACAGAATACACACACACCCAAGTGTGTATTTGCCTGCAACTGGGGACCCCCTATTGTTCCTCTTTTGTTTGTACTTTAACTTTTTTAGAAGACCACCCATATGTTTTGTACACAGTTGTCAATCGGGGACCCTCTGTCAATCGGGGACCTTATTGTCCTCTATTGTTCAGGGTCCCCAATTGAATGCAGAAACAAACTCATGTACACCCAGCCATGGGTCCAGTCTACATGTGTGTAAACTTTTACCACGTCACATACAAGGTTTTAACTCATTAAGTGGCATTCCCACTTTATGTATTCTTCAGAAGTTTTTATACACTGCAAAAAAGGTCATAACAGAATACAAGGGAACTTTTTCTGAGGAATTTTGCAATTAGAACTTGAGTCTTCCATTTTCATCTTGAGAAGTGTCTGCAAAGTTTTGTAAGCTGACCAATCAATCACTTGGCTGGAGCACAGACAACAGAAATCTTACTTGAGAATTTACTCAGGCAAGCCAACTGTCTCATCTTGCCTCTGTCTCATCTCTCTTCTCTGAGAAGTTCAAATGGGGTTTGGACAAAAAATCTGAGAGTTAGGTCCATTATAATTTTGAAAAAGGTACACAAAGATACAAGAAAGAAACTTCCTGCAATCTTTTCCAAGCAATACTTGGGAGAATGGTTGTTTATACAAACTACAGCTAGAAATCTTAATTAAACAGCGAATAGACAGCCGTTATAGTGGCTACATTAAGAGAAAGTCACCAAACAATGGAAATCTAAATTTCAATAGATATTTATATTGAGTATTAATTCTTGTACTAAAAACTTAAGTCAAACTTCTTGTTACGAACAGTGCTTCAATTTAAAAGTAATGGGATGCCTTAGATGAACTATTTTTACAGACACAAAATACAGTGCAGAAATACACTGTTCAAATGGCTCAGATACCCTGTTGAAGAATATTTAATACTTAGATACCGTGGTCAAGAATATTCAAGTTACTATGTGCGTTCCAATATTGAGGTTAAAAAGCAGAAGAAAGTGTGTGTGCTGGTACTTTGTTGCATTATTAGCACATGTTCACATAGTAGTATCTGATGCAATGTGTGCACATTAGAAGCATACATGTACACGTTACTGCCCCACTGATTATGCAAATCAGCTACAATCACACAAGATGACACTCTGGCAATCAATAACTTGATCAATGTGCAGCATAAACAAAGCAACAGTTTTAGCTCTCTCTTTCATGTATATACTTTTATTATCTGTCACTTTAAAGTGGCCTGCTCATTTTAACTCCCTGTGCTGTAAAAAAAACCAATCAGAACTTTTTTGAATGTTGTATAAAAAATAGGGTTTCCCACTGCTTTTTCTTTATCCCAAAGAGACATGACTCCATGCTGGGATTATCATGGTGTGAATACAGTAATTTACAAATTACGAACAGGCACAACTGCAGGAAAGTCTACAGTGTAAGTGAACTTGTACACGTGTGGTAAAGTGATGTAACTGTATCGCAGATTGAAATGGCCAGGAAATGCAGAATTCATGTATATGAATGTGAGCCCACACATCATTGGTTTGTTTGTACTACAAATGCATCAAGTCCCTACCATTTACATGTACCTGGGAGTGATAAACAGGCTTGCTGACATTTGTTGCAAGGTCAAACAGCACTCCCAACAAACAATACACGGAGATGATAAAAACTATCTACCGTAAACTTGTCCAGAACAGATTCTGCTCCTCCCAGCATAGTAAAAAGAACTCTTCAACATTGAATACTTTCATTCTCAGTACTTAGGACTGTTTTTTTTCTCTTCAAAAATAAAAAAAATATGAATTGCTTTGTTAGTTAAGCCGCAATTCACAAGTACAGTTTTCACTCCTTCAAAAACCCTGAATATTCAGTCATATAAAACTACACTTTTTGCCTTGAGCAATTGCAACTATTTGTGACATACATGTACAATAGTAAGACCCTGTACTATATTTGAAAGCCAGTGCATAGAAAATTTCCTTAGAAATCAATGACATCAACTTCAATTACACCAATGAGTTGACCAAATGACGTCAACTTCAATTAAACCAATGAGTTGACCACAAGATGGAAACAATGGAAAACATGAAAATGAAGACAAATTGCAGCCAAGAAAAAAAACTTGTGCCATCATCAAAAGGTGAGAATCGTGTCTGCCTTCCTCTCCCTGATTGTCTCAGTGAGTATGAAACTGGCTGGTGTGTGGTTTCCATGGTGGAATTAGGAATTGTTGTCCTTCTGCTCAAAGAACATGTAGTCCTGAAAAACAATACAAGAAGTAAATCGAATGCCGAATTACTCATTTACGTATCAAGTAACACTAATTAAGCTTACCGATTTTTACGCCTTCATCGATTTGTGAGGCCTAGTTTTACAGATGTAAAGATATGCAGAAAAGGCACAAAAGGAAACCCAAACAGCAATGCCACTGAAGCGTTAAATTGCAATGGATTACTGTAAGTTTTTGCTCTCTTGCATCTTATTTGATGTTTTGTGGCACTATTAGACTGATTACTGCACTTACAGCTTCAAAGTCAGCTAGTAAAAAAAAAACAGTTGAAGCCTGAGACGGAGCCGAGGTTGAGTATTGGAAAACGGCCCTGAAAGCATGCCATCTGGAGACCAGGGTTCTCCCCTGATACGCAATTATTTCTGCCCGACATGCAAAAAACGGCCGATAAGCATTTTTTCATCCCCGATACGCACAATATAATTATGACAGTATGGCTCAGAATTATCTTACAAAATGCAGATTGGATGTCCGGAAAATCTAGACGAAAAAGCAGTTAATAGTCCTGCATTTTTCTGTGTACATGTACAGACTATAGGTAGCCTACACAGTACATGCATTGTGCACCACTTGACGGCGGCCACACTGCACACCATCGGCACCGAACGTTCCTTGTGGCCGGTGTCGCATGAAATCTGAACTTCCGTCATCGGCGTCGTACATGCACCCGCACGCATGTGTGTTTTCTCTGTGCCGTGTGCTCAATACACTAGTGGGGCTGCATTTACGAACGTTAAAATTTTATAAGTCACCATTCGCAGAACTTACAACATCGACCCCACACACGTTTTTTTCATGGCGGCAGCCGTAGCCCTGTGTAACAGTATTAATGGCATCTACGATGGGGACGATATTTCTCTTTGCCATTTCACCTCGTTTTGTCTCGCACACAATGGCAGAAACTCAATCAAAAATCCAAAATGTAAAAAAAAATTTATTGAATCTCTGATGTGTTTTCCTGAGAAAAGCTACTTGAAAAGCCCAGGAAATGCTCTAAAATGCAGCTGAGAGCATCTAAAGTCCAAAAATGTTAGGGGCCCACCCAACCTAACAATTTTTGTTCTATTTCAGTACACGGTAATAAGATAGCACGCAACTATTTCCAGAAGTCTTTTTAAGTAAACAAGGTTTGCGTTCACAATTTGAACAGAAATAACTACAAACTGAGCAGTGCCTTTCTCTGTTGTCAGATAAAGCATAGATAATTTGAGACATTTAATACGGTGAATGTTTGACTCCAAAAATATCATTTATTTTCATGCATCCAGGAAGAGTATAAAATTGCACAAGAGGTGTGATTAAGAAAACTGTATCACCTGGACCCTTTAAAACTAAGTGCAAATGAAGGCACAAACTTACAATGAGGAAAGTGGCTCCGATCATATTGGCCTTCATCTTGACATCCAAGTCCATCGGAACTGGGCAAAAAAGGGAAAAAGGACGGTCAAATACATACATGAAAGGGACAATAGAGATTAAGATATTTTTGAGTAAGGATTACTGTGGGAGACAAATATTTCTGCCACGAGTGCAACTTTGCTTTTGGAATTATTATCTACTTGTAGATATCATGGTCCACAATAAATCTGTCCAAGCGTGGTACTATTTTCAGCTGAAAGCGACAATGTTAAAATCACAAAATTCCACAGCCACAGTCCTTTACAGGGTTGGCAGATGGTAGCCTTCTGGGGTTGTCAGTCAAAGGTTTGTGTGGCATTTATTGTGTGCTTTGTCACTATGCTGAAACTCCTTGTCTTTTACGTCACCGAATGATGTACATGTTTTTGCTACAACACCTAGCACATTGATGTACAGTACATGTATGTGGGCTCTACACAAACTCAAACTCCCATGGATGTTGAGCCTGTTTGTGTACCCACACAACAGAAATCACTCATGCATGAAAACCACGATCTATATATGCTGCTGCATATAGAACTGGACGATGTGTTTATACAGCTGCCTAGGTAATTTGTACAGAAAGTTCCAACATGTTGACATGTAAATCAAGCTTGAAGTATTCAACAAAGCACAATGTTCACAATGTGTCATGCATTTGGGTGACAACAAATGGTCATAGATTTTATGCTTGAACCTACATGTACAATGTACAGTGTATAAGGGACTCAAACATCAATTCAGATTTTTGGGGGAGGTGCTATTTCTTATTGTGCATTTTCATCAAGTTACAGTTGGATACATACTGCGTGAGAAGTATTTTGAGAGTAAAAATGCAAAATTTTAAACGCCCTTGGATTTTTTTTATGAAAGGGTATCACTCAACATACGCTGAAAAATGAATAGGATTGGCCGATACCAGATGAATGAGCTTGACTATCAAAATCTAGTTTGGGATTCTAATTTTGACTGGCCACATTAACAACTGACATACATGTACATGTACCCACATACATGTGCATGTACATACATGTACATACAGTACATGTACATACATACATGTACATAATAGCCATAAGTACATGTACTTGTAGCTCTTATAAAGTGCCTAATATAATTAAGTATGTACATGTTGAAAAAATTGGACGGAGGCATTTTGAGTTGATTTTTAAAATTGTTCCAGGGTGGGGTAGTTTTGATGTGGTATGGGAGGCTATTCCAAAGTTCAGGAGCAGAAAATTGGAAGACACTTTGGCCACACGATTTGATGAGAACTGGATTTGGAGTGAGAAGATCTTTGTTGCTGGAGTGAAAAGTTCTTTAGGGATGACATACACTATAACTATGGGCAATCATATGCAGTGCATGCATTTGTCAAAACCAATACTTCAAAGTTGTAATCTGGGCTTTATATAACTGGTACTACCAGTGGTAGCCAGCAATGTACATGTACATGCATTGGACTTAAATTTCAAATGGCCCATGTCAGAGTGTACTGATAAGAGTGATTCATTACATCCATACAACAGTGCATAGAATGACTGCTTGCCGATAATCCAATCCCATGATAAACTGCATCGTCAAAAAGGTTTAAGTCTCCATCACTTTAACCCTAAAATAGCCGGGGGGGAGGGTTTCAGGATAAAAGTTATGTGCATTGTATAGAACTTTGCATCTTGTAAGTCCTTTCAGAAGTAAGCCTATCATGTCTTGCACTGTGCCCAGTCAACTGCAAATTGGCACCTTCAGGTGTTTCACATGCTTCCCTGCACAGCACGGTGCATACAAGGTGCAGAAATGGGAACCTGTCTCGGATTAGAACATTAGAACATGGGGCCAGTACTGAATACATAAACTACATCTAAAGGTTTCCACTTACAGGAGCAGCTGAAGTTGTCAGCACTGGTGATGACCTCACGGAAGAAGCCGCCCCACTGCTTGGAGATCTTACCCACTTCAGTCACTCCATCTGTACCCAGCACCTGTAATGTGACCAACACTTAAGGATCAATCTCTAAATGCACATACTGCATGCACATATACATGTACAGTGGTGGTTGAAACTTAACCCATACTCTGACAACTACACTGTATTTGATTGCAATTTTTCACAATTTAATTGACTCATTCCTTGGAGTCATTCGTCTCCTGTAACAAACCAATCAAGACCTCCAATTCTACGCACTTTACATGGGAGTTTATGGGTCATTCTTAGAGAAGAGCATAATTCCCATCACAACAGTCAGCCACTCAGAATGAACAGAAATTACGAAAAGACTTCTCCATTTTATGTCATGTGAAATTTGTACTGCTTGGCTGCTAATCTAACCCAATGGGCCCTGTTGCTACATGTGTTGTAGACACTCATCTAACCCAATGGGCCCTGTGGCTACATGTTCATGTGTTATAGACACTCATCTAACCCAATGGGCCCTGTGGCTACATGTGTTGCAGACACTATTATTCTCACACAAAGCAATGATCTGAGAGATGGTCAGCCTGGGAAGCTCGTTTACAATATGGCAAATCAACTGAGCAAAATACAAATGTAGAAAGCCAGAAACGGAAAGACAGGTAATATGTTTGGTTAACGTTATAGGCCACAACATGTACAGATAAATAAATGAAAAGTGTAGAATGTACATGTAGAATGTACATATATGCTCATTCATTTCATTGACCACTTTGCTACGAGTAAATTCTCAAATCTTGCTGAATCCTATGAGAAAAGAAAAACGTTAGGCTGGGGAGGGAGGATATGATGACCGCTGCCCCTCCCTCTAACATGGATTCCCTTCACTGACAATACAATGATACATGTAATGCCGACTTGGATTTGGTTGGATTGAGCAGGGTAAGTTTATAATTTTAAGTCGAGAGTTGATGAAGAGAGCACCAAATTCATACAGGAACTGTCAGTTCCTGATGGACAAGAACATATTTAGCAGGGGATTCCCAAGGAAGCATTGAGGGGTGAGGGATGAGAAAATATCATATATTTACAACGAAATCCACGTCGCCCGTGCAGCAGATGGTCTGACAAGGACAGCAGGGTCCACGTATCTTCAACACCACCGACTTGTTTGCATCCAGCACTTCATACATTCCCTTCCACTTACTTCCACTGCCAACGCAACAAAAGTAATAAAAGGTCACAACAAATTTCAGCACACTGCAAAGTAGGCTGATTGTACAAAGCTTCAAAGACAATGGGACTGGGTCTAACTTCTCCAGGTTCTTTTGTCCAGCCACACTTCCATTGTAAAGTTAGTTTCAAGAAGTTCTCCCATCTTCAACTCTAGCAGAGGCTAAAGTGAGAGAAACTTGCTCTCGACACATCTACCATCTCAGTGCCCCAATGCTCCACTCACATCTGTCTGCAGTAGCCTATGACCTGCCCCGGTGGAGACTGGATATGGATCTCCTGGGAACAGCAGTCAGTGTCTGCACACCAGCAGCAGCCAGCACAGTACTTGAATGGACGCTCCAGACGGATCACTTCCTGTACATGGACACAGAAACCTTCAAAGTCACTGCCTGAGTTTTGGCCGCCAAAAATGATCCAAACCATGATAATCCACAACAGTGAGTGGTATTTGAATACCGGTACTTGGGTACATGTACATGTGTAGTACCTCTATGGTGAACTGGATGCATGTTACGTACATGTGCGGTACATACAGGTATGTATGTACAGCATACAAAAGCTCATGAAAGAACATCAGGTAATTAACTTAAATCAGTCTACAAGAATAACAACAAAATCATTCAGCTATCCTGAAGCATAAGGTTCTCAGTATCTGTTCAGGTCTCCACCTCGTATGTAAATTCACATGTACATGGATTGATTTGTGACTCACCCGATGTTGGTTGTCCACAATGTGCATTGTGAATCCGCGTTGAGGCCCACAGCAAATGCGGTGGCAAAAATCTGACTCTGAAATAGGGAACACAAAACATTAATATTCAAAGTGTGTGTGCCATCCCAACTCTGTAAGCTCATAGATTATATCACAACTCTACCAACATCTAAGCTATCCAAATTTCAATCTGGAAAGTTTCATTCCCAGTACTTTTGCCCCAGGAAGTCATGTTCATCTTTGGAATCCACAACTTGCATACATGCGTATGTATGCTTTCCAGTTTCAACCTACAGCACCTAACACAAAATGCAGAGGCATCAAAAACTCATTTCTGTACCCACAATGTCCAAAATGCTGTAAAACAGCCAAATCCGTTCTAGACGAACACATTTGGTGTAAAGATGTAAAGTGCTATCCAAAGGCTCCCTGTTGATAGACTTCCAGTTCCACCAATGTAAATGTACTTATAGACCTACATGTACATGTATGTACCTAGACACAGAAAATCAATTACCTTCAAAGGCAAAATACACCTGTTGGCCCAAGGAGTTCTTGACAGCATAGCGATTTTTGGTCTCTATGTTGGTCAGTGCCTCAAAGAGCTCAATCTGCTGGTGCATGAGAAGTTGATCAATCTGAGCCAAGTACTCCAGGCCTGGCGGTACTCCTGGAATGTTCAGCTGGGGCATGGCCATCCATTGCTGGCCCCCCTGGTTAGGAACTGGTTGCTTGACTTCCACCTGTAGTTTGTTGGAAAAAATCCTGTAAATCTGTGCTAGAAATTGGGGGGGGGAAGGGGAAAGGTGGGGAGACGACATGCCTGACAATGGAAATTTAAAAAGTTGGGTGGGGCTTCATTTTATTACACTACATGTACATCAAGGCGATGTTCAGGATATTGATGGACACCTGTAATGTGTTTCAAATTCATGCAGGCTGACCTTCAAAAATCCCCAGTCAGGTGATGAGAACCCGACATGTTTGGACTACATGTACATGTACTGGTAAACTGAAAATTAAAATGCCCTCATGAGAACAAAAAAAATCCCAAGCACTTAATTCAATCTTTAGAAATGGCATTTTCACATTATACTGTGTACCTGTAGCCTAGGCACCAGCTTTTCACATGTGGGAAAATTCTTTTCCACGTTTTCAGATGTACCTCAGAGTCACATGACATACATGTACATGTACCACAACTTGGATTGAATACATGTACCCTTTATACTATCAGTGCATGTACATGTACAGATGTACATGTAGTGTTGTGGGAATCCACATTAACCCTAACAGCCCTGAATCCTCCAATTTTAATATAATTTTGCACACACCCTACTGAGTTAGGGTTAATACATGTAATTGATACCAATGCAATCTGAGCTAAATTTATTGTACAAAATGTAAAGAGACTCAGGTCCAAGTCCTTTTACAAACACAAGCTTACATGTACATGTACATTGCTCTGTTGATTCAAATTCAGTTTCATAATAAAAATATTACAATGAAGCTGTCTAGTAGTAGGCCTGTTTACAAGTTTTAATTGATTGATTCAGACTGCACAATGAAAGACTGGACACAAGTACAACCCACTAGTAAATTAAAATGTAGGGCAATTCCACGAAAAATGGGACATGACACCCTAACACTGAAACTTCGGTGTACTACATGTACATGTATGTGACTACATGTATATGTATGTGACTACATGTATATGTATGTGACTACATGTACATGTATGTGACTACATGTACATGTATGTGACTACATGTACATGTATGTGACTACATGTATATGTATGTGACTACATGTACATGTATGTGACTACATGTATTTTATACTTGATTTCAAAAGAGCACGTACTGAAGTTCAGAAATCCCAAATTCGCCTGTCTTTTGTTTCCTGTATATCAGAGTTTTTACAATTTTGAAAAGTCTGTATTATTTTCTTCATTTTTCACCACAAATTGTAAAATTTAAAAGTAGACCCTTTTTCCACATGTTTGATTAAGGACCACTTTCATTTTAATATTAGACGAAACCTAGTAACCTTCAAGGTAATGTCTATAACTCTCTCTGCTTTTTTTGACCAGAGCCCCAGGATTATGTAACATGAGTGACAAAAATAGAATATCTTTAACTGAAAAACACTTTACAAAAAGCAGGGTCACTCAACTAGAACACTTTTACTTTTCCTTCTCCTCGTGGTGCTACTTACAATATTATAATCTCATCTGATCTGTAGAGTTACATGTATCTGGTCCTTCAATATTAATAACCAAATTTTGTAATTACAAATGTAATGTGAGTGACATACAGGGTCCTGCCCAGGATGGTTTTAGTGCCGGCAGGACTATCTAAGCGGAGCGCCACCATCGGTTGGC